AATTCTGTTTTCATATGTAATTTCCCTGCAAAAGAGAAGGGATTTTTAAAATCAGATTCTTCTTTTGCAACTATAGTGGGTTAAGGAAAGCACATAGTGGATAACGTTTAAAAAATCATGTGCTTTCATTATGGGAAAAAAAAAAAAATCCTGTATTAACAGTTGTGGACTCAAGAACACCTTACAGAAAGTTAGTACCTTGGAGTGCATGCACAAAAAAAAAGTAGATCAAGACAAAAAGTATAATTGTGACTCCAAAGGTCTGGACTGGGAGATTGTTTCATTGTTTTCCTGGTGGAGACCAGAATACTATTAGACCAGGTCTATAACTTTTCATTTTAGAAAGTGGTGTATGCAGTGGGTTTTGGACCCTTTTGCAAATGGAGAAAATGAAACAGAAAACTGAAAGTTGATACAATGTCCATTTTTACAGTGAAACTATTTTAGATTATTGGAAGAAGTCATGTCTTTTCAAGTCAAAACTGATCACCACTAAAATCTCATGCTATGGAGATTTTCCTTTGCAGAGAGAAAATAATTGAACTTTTGGAGTTCAGAATTATTCTTCAAGAAATTCCCTTGGATGTATGAGACATGGTTTCCCTCTAAATATCTTTCACTAGTGAACATAATTAGCTACATGATAACAAATTATTTTCCTTATTTGAGTTTGGATTTTTGAGTGGGTTTTTCCTGGTATAAAGATCAGATTTACTGATTGGAAGTACTCCAGATCTCCTTTGAGACCCTTAAAAACTGGACTCACCTTCTGACACCAGGAAATTCCTAAGCAAGTTGCATACCACTCCTAGCAGCTTGGCTGTCTGTTTGCTGAGTTCCTTGAGAAGTCTTGGATGAATATCACCTGACCTTAGCCGTTTGGGCCTATTAATTTTGCCTGTTTGTTTCATAACCTCTTGCACTGACCTTCTGAATTGAGACACAGCCTCTCGTGTGTCGCCCATGAAGAAAATTCTAGTATGAGAACCTCCCCAAGTTCCTCCAGAGCAAACACACATGCAAAAAAGCACTGATTTTTCCCTACTACTGTGAGCCCTTATCTATAAGCTGATCATCTATTGCCTTACAGACCTTTTGGCAGGTTCCCTGCTCCTGAAAGTGTGGGGGGGTCATTATTTTTATGTTCCTTGCAAGACGCTACTCAGTCGCTTTCTTGTTTTGCTTTATTGTGTTTTCATATTCAATTTTATAGAATTTATGGTCCTCTCCTTTTGCTTCATTTCAACATCTACCTTTTTGTAGGTTGGCTTCTTGCTGTACATAGCCCTTTCTTGCTTGGTTGTTTAACTCTGCCAGCATCCTCTGGATCTATCATCTCAGTAAAAGGAATATAAATATCCTTCCAAAATAAAGAAAAAAACAAGTGTTTTTGACTTGGATTCACACCACCATGTTGCCAGGAAAGGATGCTTGTTTGCCTTTCCCAGAATTCAATTTAAAAACTCTTGTTTTCAGTTAGAAGCTTATATTGGACTTCACAAAAGAAAAGGAAATGATACAGCATTTTATATATGCATGTAAGTGGCTTTGAAGTTTTCTTTCTGCTGAAATAAAATGTGAAGTGTGAAGTGTGAGAAACAAGAAGCAGGATGAAAGAAAGATGAAGACAGTTCTCTGAGTGTGCAAAAATAAGAGGAGCTAGGTTTGTGATCTTGTAAAATACTATGCACATCAACTGTAAGTACACACATACTCAAAAAACTCCATGTGGACACTCATGTTTAAATACAAGCATGCCTACATTTTTCTGGATTTCTCCCCTGGCTTCATGTTTGGGGCCAAGCTGCATGCTTCATCCTCCTGTTGAGAGTGATCTACATTTTCAAGGCTTGTGACTGCCTCTTACCTTCATTCCTGCAGCATTGGTATCAGGTTCTACTGCCAACCTGCGAACAACCTTGAGTGTAACTTACTAATTTATTTAATAAACCACTCTGTGTTTTTTCCTCCAGTCTCTGCAACAGCTGGAAGACACTGCCTGTAAATATCTTACTCTTTGACTTTCCTCTGGTACTTTCCCAAAGCTGCCCTCTGCTAGTGGGGGACTAAAACCTCAGTAATAGCTTAGCAGATATTGCTATGAGATCAGCACCCATCATGCACAGCATTATTGGTTTACCCTTCTTGTGTCCTCCATGCTCCTCTGTTTTCCTTCTGTATCCATCTCTTTGGCATATCTTTTTGTAGAAGTAGCTAATAAGTTTCACAAGGTAAAATCACCATCTTGTCATACATTTGTATGGTACTCACTGTGCCAGGACTGCGTGGCTGCAGTACACAAAATTAATAATAATGCCATCCTTGGCAGAATGATGTCAAAAACCCAGATCTTTGAAAATACTGTACCAAGAAGGGCTGCTCAAAGATTAATGTTTACATAGGTTTTAATATGCATGTTAATTGGCTGTACTGCATGTGTACTGCATATATGCATCAATTGCATGGTTAATGTTTTTGGGGGGAGGGGGGGAAATACTCTTTCTAGCCTGAAAGACTGTTTTTCCTTTCCTTGGGTGGGTTTTCTGCAATCTTTATGTGTAGATATATGAATATATTTTCACTTCTACTCCAAACTTTTAAAAACTAGTTTGAGAGCGTAAAGGGGATTTAGTACAAGTGAAACAAAAGACTAAAATTTGAAGAGTGTATTTACCAGATACATGACTTTTTTTTTAAAACTGGTTTGTTCCTATGCAGGAGGATAATCCACATAGGAATCAATTTCTGTCATTATTCCCATGGGTGGTCTGTTGCTAATCTTTTTAAGAGCTTCCTGAGACAACCATGGGATCCACTGCCTTTGATTTACTAGAGCTTTATATAGCTTAGCAAATACACAAGAAAAAAAAGAAAAAATAATATAGACTGTTAAAATGATTGTGGTGGGTTGACCTTGGCTGGCTGCCAGACACCCACCCAGCCACTCTCTCATTCTCACTCCTCAACAGGACAGGGGAGAAAATAAGATGAAAAAGCTTGTGGGTCACAATAAAGACAGAGAGATCACTTACCAGTTACCATCATGGGCAAAACAGACTTGACTTGGGGAAAGTTAATTTAATTTATTGCAAATTAAAATAGATTTGGATAGTGAGAAATGAAGACAAAAAGATTAAAACAACACCTTCCTCCTGCTCCCTCCATTGTAATTCCAATGCAGTTGAAGCCATGCATTTAAAAAATCACAGCACAGCTCCTGAAACCATGACAGGGAAAAAAAAAAAAAACATAAGAATCATTTAAAGAAATATATCAAGTTGTGAACCTTTAGTTTCTGTGTTGTTTCTGTTTACTTTACAGTAAGTCCCATATATCTGCTGTGGGGCTAGATGCAGAAGAATCTAAGTGTGTTAAGTGAAGCAAGGCTTGTTTGGAGTTGTCATATATTTTATTAGACCAGCTGTTGCATCTGATGAATGTAAAAGCTATAGCTCAGAGCATGCAAATCATTTGAGGGCTGTTCTAGAAACAGTTAAAAACTCCATATTCAAACTTTGTCCTCCAAGCATCTTCCGAGAAAATGATTCAGAAATTTGGGAACACTGCAAGAGTTTGTTTGCACTTGATACAGGAGAGTTATTTAGCATTGTGATGCTGCATGGTAAGTACTACCTCTTTGTGGAAACGGAGAATATATTCATTTGTCACTCAGTACCTTTTGTTTCATACTGATCTATAAGCCTCAAGTAGTATGTCTGTGTTTGAAAGACTTCTCTGGAAATCACTTTTTTTTTCAGTATGTGATTGTGCTGCATACAGCTTGACCCTGGCTTTCAGGTACTAACCACAATATAAAAGCTGAGGTAAAGTTACTTTGGTTTCCAAACTTAAATGACCATTCCTAATAATCACAGAGATTTTGTTTAAGACATCAGTGAATAATCTCTGTCTAGTGCTCTGCATTTATATTCTTCCAAACTGAGATATGTGTTTAGGACACTAAGTATTTAATTGCATACTACAGCTAATGACATGATGGTCTATGTCTCCCATGATGTGTCACCACTAGACACTATATGGGCAGATTAAAGGTAAAGCCAGGATGTAGTCCTGACCCAAAGAAAACCTTGATTAAAACCTGATGAATTTGACAACAGCCAGAAATAATTATAAGCATTTCAGAGAAAAAAAAAACAAAACACCTTTCAGCTTTCTACTGAATCCTCAATTTCCAGAAGGAAATATTCCAGACTAGCACTTAAAAGAGCACCAAGAACTTACTAGAATCCCCAACTTGGAAGAGACTGTGCACAGTAATTTAAAAGTAGACAACTCCTTGCTGATAAAAAAAGCCCAGGCTTGTCCTTTTGAAGTGCAACAGGAACATTGCAAACTGTGATGTTTGAACAGATCTGATTCAGTCTCCATTTAAAGAAAGGCATTAAGTTGCTCAAATCTATGAACAGTTGCTCAAGTGGACAGGCACAAAACACAACCAAGGATCAATACATGTATTTAAATGCCCTTTCCATCTATTTAATGAGACGTGCACACGATCTTTTTTTGGTAAAGCAAGATCATTTCTCAGCATTTGAGAAAAACACAGAAGTTGACACAGTTGATTTTAATAAAAAGTGAATGAGAAAAGTCTATCAATCCAGTGAAATGGGCTTGAGGGGCTCAAATAGATTCTTTCATGTGCAAGAGTGTGTGTGCATTGAAAGACTGCATTTGAGAACTGTGATATTGCATTGGAGAAAATGCAGTGTTAGAAGTATCTGTTAGAAGGGTCTGGAGTTTGTCAGAGAAAGACAGAGGAAATGAAAAAGAAGAGAAAAGGAGTTCACTTGTCTGTGCAGTTTATACTGTTAAGTTCCTTTTCATAGTCCTGCTACTGCATGGCTTCAGATAAAAGCACAAATGGCCATCTGCTGTCCCCTTCCTGTTTATCACACTCATTTGAAACATTTCCCATAACCTAGTTTGACGCTAACAGTCAAACAGTCTTCAGTAGGAAGAAGTGATAAAAAGACCTTGAGATGAAGAATGAAGAGGGTTACACAGAACTTCATTTCAAAGCAAGAAAGAAAAGCTCCAATGCAGGTGAGCATATAAGCATTTATGGTATGTCTTCAGACTTTTTACTTGTTTGTAAATAATAAATCTCATATTCGAGTTATCATAAAAAAACATATACCTGTCAAAATTTTAGTTGGTGCTACTAAAGTTGCCAATGGTATATGGCAGTATACAGAGAAATGTGATGGATAGTAGATAAAATGCAGTACTAATAGTACCACCAGGCTTGGAGTACTGGTGCTGACAGTCCCAGTATAAAATGGAGACTAGAAGACAGAGGCATATGAGGAAAACATGAGGCAGTAGTTGTCAGCAAGTTTGGCAGTGGTTAATGGCTCATTAGCCATTTAAGTTTTCTACAGGGTTTTTGGTTGGGTTTTTTTTGTTTTGCTTTGTTTTGTTTTCAGGAATTACAGCTAAGAAGAATTTAGGAATCATTTAAATGAAAATTGTAAGACAGTAACTTACTGTCCAGTAAGCTTTTTCAACAACTTCTGGGAATTTTGTCGAAAGTGCCAGGAGCAGCAAGGGAGAAAGTACAAAGATATATGCTGGAAGGCTTTCAAGTTGACCCTTGCTAACCTTTATTTCTTTTAAGTGTCCCAGGGAAGAGCTTCTCAGATCATAAATACGAAGTCCTCAGAGAAATTAGACATCCAGTTTCCAAACAGTTAATTAACTATGATGATCAGTTTCTGAGAAATCCTGGCTGCACATTTATGAAAGAACAATTTTTAATAGAAAAAAAGCAAAAGCCAGGTTCAGTTACTCCATATGGCAGGATAAATTGTGTGCAACTTTATTGATGTAAATTGTGCCAGTTTGTCTATTATTACAAGAACTTAGCTGAGAGCCTGTTCCCAACTGCAGTAAAAGCACAGAACTAGCAAAACTGAGAAAAAAAATCAGAAAACTCATAAAAACTAATATTTATTTAACTAAGAATTTTCAATGGTCTGTAAAATATTTGTCAAAGTGCACAAAAACATTGCTGTAATGGAGTAGATTGAATATTTCCATTTCAAAGAAGCAGAAAATCAGACGAAGCGTATGTGGCACATATACAGAATAGTATGTGACCACAAACACGCAGAGCACACAGTGACAAAGCCATGTTTAAAATGCTCTATCTTGATTGTCTACCTGCATGACAGGATAGCATGACATGACAGGGCAGCAGAAAGACTTCAGGTGAGCAACTGAAGAGTGCTTTCATTTAGCTTGTTAAACAATGCACTGCAAGCTGAGTCTCTGCTTGTAGTGAAAGGTGTGTGAGCTAGCTTTAGACCAGACACAGACAAGTCATGGCAGCATGATATACATACGGAATACAGAAGTGTATTCACTGGAGTGGTTAGAAATGGTCGCAAGGCCACATCGGCATAATCTAGTGCAATATCTGTGCCAGTTCATGTAGTACAGAAGGAAGACCACAGAGCTCCCCTTCCCCCTTGCAGTCCCATGTGGTCTTGCTGGTGGTGCAAGCTGCTGAGCTTTCCTGAGAAGCTGGGCAAACACTAAGCTGTTAGCCTGTGCTGCGTTGTCAGCTCTGTGGTATTGCTGCTACCAGAGCTCACCCTGGGTAGCTGAGTGCTACTCTGAGTATTTACACAAGTCACTGCTACTGTTTTGCCTGCAGTCTAGCCATTGTGCAAATCATGGCAGAGTTAAGATTAGACTCAAGGTATCCTGATTGCCTTTTTATGTCAAAATCACTGCATAATACCCAAAGGAAGAAGGAAAACACACAGGGATGCTTAACCATAATATGTTGCATAGCCAGCGAAAAGTACTGCATTCTGTTTACATATATTTGCCATCTAAATAAGGTGGCAATATATAAAACAGTGGGGATTAGCTCTTTGAATATTTAAAAATGACTAGTCACAGATACAGCATTTCCCAAGTAAGTATGATTGAATAGACAAATCAGGAAAAACAATGTTTAACCTCTGTGCAAAACGATGACAGCTAGAAACCAGACATGAAGTGAAAGCGTTAGTGGAAATGAGTTTATCATGTAGCACAAAGTTCAAGTCATTTCATGATCTGAAATACGGCTCCATGCATTATATTTTTGAATATAAAAATATTCAATATAGAAGCAGAGAATATAGAAGCAGAGAACTTTTCAAACAGCTGATCCACATCTTATCTGGACGACCAGCATTTGAAATGTAATGGCTTTTAAAGAATACTTCCATGGGGTACTTCCTGATCTTGTTTACTAGTTACAGAGCAAGTTCTTTACAAGATATAACATTTTGGCACCCTGTTTTCTCTTCCAAGAATGGCCATTTCCATGAAATGGAAAATCAACCTTCTGTTATTCTCTGACTTTATTCCTGGGCCCCAACTCAAGGGATGTTTGCATGTAAAATCTTTTTTTCCCATTAAGTTAAGTTTGGACAAAGTGAACAGTGTATTGCACTTTGGTCTTTCTAGAAGAACACTCACAAAGATTTTCCTGCAAACACTAATGTTAGAAAGCTAGGAAGAAAAATTAACATGACATTTCCTGCATAGCTAGGCAATTTCTAGCTGTTCTCCTCCTTGCTCCAAGGAATCCTTTGAGGCATCATAGAGCATCTTTTATGCCTCAGTCATTTTAAAGATCTTTGCTGTATTGCAGCCTACAGTAACTATAGCACTACCCCTTCCAAGAGCACACTGACAACCTACTGAAATGAGTCCAATGGAGGGCTCCTGAGATAGTGAGCTGGAGAAGTGACACAGGAGGAGAGGCTGAGACAATTGGCAGCCCTAAGAAGAGAAGGCTGAAGGAAGTCTTTCTCTTCTCTTTAACTACCAAATGGGAGGATGTAGAGAAGACAGAACCAAACTCTTCTTGAAGGTGCACATTGAAAGACACAAGTTGGAACATGGAAAATTACAATTTGATACAAGAAAATTTTTCTTACCATGGTGGTGGTCAAACACTAAGACAGGAGCCTGGAAAGGCTGTGGAATCCCATCCTTGGAAATATTTAGAAATTGGCTGGACAAAGCCTTGAGAAACCTGCTCTAATCTGAGCTGCCTTAAGCAGGAGTCTGGACTAGATGGCCTCCTGAGATTCCTTCCAGCCTACATTGTTCTGTGATTCTACGTCAAGACATGTAGAAATCCTGAAATATAGTGAGTGAGCAAACAGAGCAGCAGGTTTCACTAGGAAGTGGCATGGTGGGAGTGTGACAGTCCTACAAGAATAAATTTTAAGATTGTTGGGTAATATTGAGAAGGAAGATTCACCATGACTGTGCATTTCCAGGCTTCTCTGATTCTAATTAAACGTAGGTTTTTTTGAGTTGTGAGGAAGCTCGTTTTTGCATCTCTATTCACTGACCTTAATCAAGCATCCAGTCTCCAAAGAAGCCCTGTTTAATGCACTGCTACTTAATTTTTTAAACATTTTGTAGTAATTTTCCAGTTGGGATTGTCTGAACATCAAGGACTCAATAAAAAAAAAGATCTCCAAATTATAAGGTGGACTTTTCTAAAGGCCTTTGATGTGGCATCCAGTGTACATGTGATAAAACTAGTGGGTCCTGGAGTTACAGGACTAACTACTAATTGCTAATTTTCAGAGAAGCTACTGGCCCTTTCTTGATTAATAGTGTTGGTGTTCGTAGCCCTAGAACCTCATTTTTGTTGTTACGTTATATATATCTCTTTCTTTGCAGCTGTTAGAAAATTCAGTTCTTCCTCTTTCACTAAGTTTGTGAGGTTTTTTTTAGCAATGTATGTTGAGTGCTTGCTGTGACATCTAACAGTCTTCGTGATATCTGCAAATGACATCCCCCTGCTACCAAGAAGCAGAAACTGTTCAGGAGCTGTGCCACTCAAAACCTCAAATGAAGTGGCAAACAGTGAAGACAGCATGAGAAAATACAAGCCCCCAAAAAGTTTTCATAAATGAACGTTTATTAGGTGCATGAACCACTTGATATGCGGGAGGCAACTAGAAGGGAAAAAGCAACTGTGACAAAGCACATGGCAAAGTGACAGTGTTGGACGTTCTGTCTGAAAGATGTTTAGGGAAACCCAGATTTACGTACTGGGCAGCATCTCGTGCTGTGTTTGTAAAACCCTCTTATTTCTTGCAGAAGTTCCGTCTAATTCTTCAGGCTTGCGGTATGTTGCTGCTCTCTCAGGATTTCTGAATGTTGTATTTCTGGGAGCTGTGATCACATTAATTCAGCAGTGTGAGTGACCAAGTGAAATGTTTTACTTTAATTCCTGTCAATGAATGTTTTGCTTTAATACCTGTCATTGAAATTGACAGGTATTAATTCTTAACTTAAACAAGTTTTGCAAACAAACTGTTTTGATAAGGTGACAAGACCACTCATGCTTTCTACTATTGTGTTTCTGATGAAGGTGAGAGGGAGTCACCGGCATTTTGGGGCTATGGATCTGCAGAAAGTCAGTGGCTTTCAGAGCACAGTTGAATGTTTGGGGTGTATGAAGAGGGCTGGAGCCTTTCCTGTCCTGACTTTCCTGTCACCCAATCTGAGAGTCCCTCCTCTTCCTTTCCAAAACAGAACAAACCACCAAGGTTTCTAGCCAAAGAATCCATCCATCCATCAGTTTGGAAAAACTCTTTTAGTAATGAAATAAAAAGGTGTGCCTCTGAGTTCATAAAACTGGCCTTTGCACTGGCCACAGAATTTGTGCATAAGCACTGGGTCACGGCTAGCATTGATTATGTGTGTACAGAGCTTACCTATCCAGCACAGATGTGTGCCATTATCCCTGAGCATCTAAACTTAGAGATCAGAGAGAAATGCGTGCATTTGCCCTGGCCAAGCAAGTTGAAAAAGTTTTTAGGTTGCCATCAACAAGCATCTGAATATTGATCAAGCAATCTAATTTTAGTTTCCTCCTTTAGAAAATTTTGGCCCAGTTGTCCAAATGTCCAGCCTGCTTCTGGACATCAAAATCACTTTGCACATCAAAATCACTTGAGAACCCAGGAGAAAATGAGAATTCAGAAGCACTTCTGGGCATAAGTATCCTGCAGAGTCAGATGTTCTCCCTTTCTCTGGATGCAAGTCCTGCCCTCTCATATCAACCCATTCTTTTCTGAAATATGTTCAATACAAATTTCAGGAACTGGAAAATCAGAGGCAGGACCGTGTTATTTGAAAGACACTTGTTCATACCATGTTGTCAAAAGCATGATAGTAATGGACTCTACACTGTCTTTGTGAAGTCAGTCACCTCATGTATTTGTTTAATGGATGCTCAACTCTCCAGCCACCATTTACAGGAGAGCTGGAAGGACAAACGAGCAATCTGAGTTTCCACTTAAAGCTCCTATTATTATCCACAGAAAAATACATTGGGGTTTCTATACAGTTGACTTGTGAGCTTTACATTAAAATGTTGGAGATTCTTGTCCAGGTGACTTGCTATCAAGTGACATGTGGAAGCCCAGAGAAAATCTTTCTGAAAGTGACAGTATCTTTGAGGAAGATCTTCATGAAAACAGCTTACTGACTGCGTTAAAGGAAAGCTTATGCATGCATACAAACGGTAAGGAAATAAAGTCTTGCTCATAGTAGCATAAATGGTTTGAAGCTCTTGAAAAGATTAATATAAAAATAAACACCTGCACAAAGGAATTGACCTTTAGATACCAGAATGTTTATATTGATAAAGATGTATAAAGTGATCTATTTTAGAGTTCCATCCTTGAAAATTTTTAGTTTAAGCAAAAAATAAAAGTGGTGCAGTGTTACTAAAGATCTTTGTTATTTCTCCATGGATGCCATTGAATTGTACTACTCCCAGTGATTTCAGCAGAGCTGGGGTTTTATCCATGGCTTTTACCTCAATTATTATGTAAAATATTTAGTAGAATTATCTAGAGTTCTGAAATATTTAAAGGCACAGGGTCATCCCTAATCAAAGAATGACCACCCTTATTACTACTGCAAAGCAGGGACACGTGCTTTCTTAAAACGAGCTATACCATCGCAATTTCTGCCCCACTCCTGGTTTAAAGCTTCTTACTCTCTTATTCAAAAGCCCCATAAAAAGCAGAAGCCAATAATAATGATATCAGTTGTAAAAAAAAAAGAAGTGACAAAATCCCTTGACCCCAAATTCTTCACAGACTCCAGATGTGAACTCTGCCCCATTGGCTGGAAGCTGCATTATGGGAGATGTTATTTCTACTCAGAAACTCGTGACACCTGGGAGAATAGTAGAAAGTATTGCTCCGGAAAAAAATCTCAGCTCCTGATTATAGAGGATGAGACTGAAATGGTAAGCTTGTAAGGCACTCTGTGGTTCAAATATTCTTTTTACTTATACTTTGTGAATCCACATATCAAACTAGAGCTTTCCGTGTATTTTTAGAAGCCATTTCTAATCCCGATACGCTCATAAAAGGCATTGTCAGTGGCAAGTGCACTGATGATTGGCTTCTGCATGTTAAGAAATATTTGTGTCAAAAAGACCAGTGGCCTATGCTTCATTTAAATAGATGCAATGATATGCCTAGAGATTATCTCCAGCAAGAAGCAGCTGGTATTTGAAGGATTTTTGCAAAATCAAACCTGTTCAGAACTTAGCTGTCATAAAGGCTGTTGCCTTTCTTTTGGGGGATGGAGCTGTTTCTCTATACTTTGTACGTTTTTAAATGTCAGTATTGGGTCTGTGGCAATAGAAGGAACAGTTCTGTGGACCAAATTCTAACCTGTAGGGTGTCTCTTTTGTGCTACTGGTTTTGCTTAAAGGTGACCAGGTTCAGACAGTCATTTCTAGAGCACCCAGGCGGGTGAGCTGGCAAAATGATCACCTCCATTCCTTGTAGGGGGGGAAAAGAGGAGGTAGCTTCAACTCCCATAATTCAGATTAGCCTGATCCTCATCTAAAATGTGCTAGTGGAATGGGCCTGGGTCCAGCAAGGAGCCAAAGGTTAGCTCCTTAGTTGCTCCATTTACCATCGTTAGCCACAGTACTGGGTGCAGTTGAGAATCTGAACTAATTTCCATGTGTTTTTTTTTCTTCTCAATTTCTTGGAAACATTCTCTGGAATCTTTTGGGCATGAAAGCCTTACTGTTTTTAAAATATTAGTTACCACTATACTGGAGTATGCTATACCACTATGCTGGAGTTCTATTAAGTGTCGTTATTATGAGAGTTCAAAGACATACCTCTTTCTAGGATTTCTTGAACAAACAAAAGGATAAAGACATTGGCTTTGTTTGGACTGGATTAAGCTTTGATGAGGAAGAAGGAAGATGGATATGGCTCAATGATCCCAAACATCCAGGGCGCAGGTAGGTTCATTCTGGAATGAATCTGTGCTAGCTTCCATGACCTCTTCTCCACTCGCTGTGCCCAGGCTATTCAGCCACTAGACCGTGAGAAAGTAGTAGTAAGATATCAGGGCCCATACTCCCGTTAGGCAGCTCAGCCTATTCTGATTTTTCTCAATACAGAATTCTGATCAAAACATGCAGTTGAAAAGTGAAATTCCTTGACAGCTCTCTGAAGAGGAACTAATTTTATTAGGAGGTGCCTATGCTGTGTAAGCTTTTTACTTCCAGCTGCATAACAAGTAGGGAAACAGAGAAAGGGTGAAGCTTACTAAACAAATCTGTCCGTATGTCAGGGAATCAAAAGAATTACAGCATAAAGACAAAAAAATCCAGTCTTTGTGGTTTCACTCTTTGTATATGCAAACAAATTTTTTCAATGATCTTCATATCTGTGTGTTGTTTGGCTCTTGCAGTTTTACAATAAAAGGAAGGAAGAATGAAGAAAAATGTGCTGCCTATAAGTTGACAGAAATGCATGCTGATAACTGCCACTCCCTATACAAGTGGATTTGCAAGAGGAGTGCAGTCCGACTGGGTATCTAAGATATTGTAAAGTGCAAGTGAATAGGGTCTTTGAAGATTTACACCACTTTACAGTGGGTAGGATATCTGATGTAAAATTAAGGGGAAATTGTTGACCAGAATTGTGATTAATCAATGCATTGTGATTCTATTTGTGATTGAAGTCCAGGAGGATTTCAGGCTTGTCTCTCTCTTCTTTTGAGAATGAAGGTATAAAATCTATGTGTCTTTGTGCATGCTGATGCACTGCCCCTTAGAGCTATTAAAATAAGCAGCTTGCTAACTTTAAGTAGCTTATAGAGTCTAAGAGTTGTGTAAACCACAGGTAAAATGAAGGTTTTTCTACCAGCCTGGCAACTAGATCATACAACAGGCAAAAGGTTGCTGTTGCTCCTTACTTCAGATGAAGAGGTGATAATCAGTGCTATGCACTTAAATGAGCCTGCAAATCTCACCACTGGAGGTCCAATATGGGAAGACAGCATAGCTCTACACAAGAGAAAGTCAAAATCCAGTATTTTTTCGAAAAAGTTTAATTTCCTGTACATCATTCAGTGTTATAGAATTTGGCACTTAAAAAACCCATAAATACCTCTTCAATTCGGATGTGAGATTTAATTGTCTGATATGATGTCTTTGTTCTATTAACATGCTAGAAATGGCAAAATCATATTTATGGGGCTAAAGGGCTATAAGCCTTCCTTTTGTTAGTCCACTTCACAGACACTTTTTACAAGTCAAAAATGGATGTTGCAGCCCTCCTACATCTCGAGGCTACTGATCAGGATGAGGCAGCAGATCTCAGAGACGTTTGCTCTTTTCTGCCTGATCTTACCTCGAGATAAGTTGTACAGGTCTGAGAGTAATCTATAGTTCTTTGTTGTTATCTATAACCATAACATACTAAACATTTGATTTTTATAGCTAAGGAAAATCAGTATAATGATTAAAATGATGACTCTAGGATGTAAAGCCAAGTTCCAAACTCTTCTAGTTGAGGAAGATCACTCTGAGAGGCACTTCCACCAGGACTGGTACACCGCATTTTGGACGGTGGTAGCAATGTGAGTTACTTGGTGATTTGTTTGGTGTACAGTAACCTCTCTCTTTGTGGCTTTTGTACCACATGTCAGACTTCAGGTGTAAGAGTGGGGTGCTCTAGCATTTCTGGCAATTGTTTGAAAAATTGTTGAAAATTGCTTGGCAATTCCTAAAGGCATTGAGCCTAACATAGCACATAATTGCAATGATTCCTTGAGCTGAGTGTTACTTCTATAGGTACGATGTAATTACCACATCCTTCAGCAGAAACTACTTTACATACACATCTATTATCAGATAAATTATACACAGTGAGATAATTTACAATAGTTTGTGGGCACTTGATGAACACACAGTTGCAATAGTGTTATACATTTCTAACATTATCTGGCTAGCTCCTTGATAACAAAAAACTTTTTTCATTAAATTGGTACATGGCTGTATGTCGTACTCTTATGTAGTTTTTGATATCTCCATAATTGAGGAACTCCTGGTTTCCAACATGATCTGTTTTCTGTCTAGCCCAGAAGCATCTACTTTTATGTAGCTGTTTTATATCTCTGGCATCATATATAACGCTACACAAACATGCAATCTTCCCAGTCACAATGTTGCAAATGTACGTGTAACAGCATACATTCTTCTAAAATACAATTTACCGTTGTAATTATTTCTATACTTAATTGATTAAGCTTTGCTTTTTGTAGCACTTAAACTATTATGTTTTGTAAATACACAGCATCACATCCATGTATGTTTATGTTACATATACAAACATCATGTATTAGTGACCATGATCACTGTTATTAATGGGAGGCATGTATATCCTCATGGAGAGAAAGGGGGTTTCCCTTGCTTGGAGATGGGAACACCTTACAATTGGTTCCATTTTTTCCCCATCATTCACAGATGAATGTGGTGGTCTTGATTTTAACTTCAGCCGTAGGAATTGACTAAAAACTCCCAGTATTATATCTTTTCCATTTCGTATATACCTATACAACAATAAAAGGAAAGCAAAACCAGCTAAACCAAATCAATGCAACCTATAAGCAGCCATACCCTTAGGGCTGAAACAGATAACTTGTTTTTCTGTACTACTCTTTTTTATCCTTCCTTGCTTTTCTGCACACAAGGTCCATACAAAATTGGGCACTCCTAACACCCTGCTTCACGCTTACCCTCTTTCTCTGCTTTCCCCCTTCCACTGCTGCAGTCCACTCTTAGCAAATGTTACAGGCTGGACTAATTCCAGTGCATTATTACCCCCTTTTTTTCATTTCTCATAATTCTCCTCGCTTGCTGGATCCCTTTTGCTGATTCTACCCAAGCCATGGTTGATCTCACTGCTCAGTGTGATTCACTGTTTGTCGCTCAATCTAGATTCTTATATGTCAAGCATGGGGCTTTTCTTCAGTTTAACCACCCCTTCAATGCAAGTATCATCATTTAGGGGCCTTATCATCTGCATCATTATACTAATCTGTTTTGAGTCTAACGTGATAGTGATTGGCTCTGTTCTGTTCTTGATCATCTCTCTGGCCCTTTATGTTTTTACAATGGCCTCAAAAACTAAAGGTTGTCTTGGTTTTTCAGCTGGTTCTCTATTGTGGAGCGCTTTTTGCAATGGGGCAGATGGTAGTGGATAACCATACTCCTCCAGACTCTTCGTAGACAATTCCTTGTCTTGGGTGGATCCCAATGTTTTCTAAGTTCCGCTTAAGATCTCTTTCCTGCTTCATAGCTGTGTTTAATGTCCTGGGACTAGGCCATACACAACAACTGTTCAAATGTAACCTGGTCACAATTTGGGGCTTGTCTGCCTCTGTTGTTTAGAAAACTATGGGCAGAGGCTGACAACTTTTTCCATGCAAAATACATTTCTACTGTTACATTTGGCTTGTGCTAATATATATATAATACAACACAATGTATCCACTTACAATGATCATTTACTATGGATTGTATCTATATCAATTCTTCCATTAGTCCACCCAGAAACTATAGCAGATGCTCAAGAGGAATTCTCTTGATCAGTCATGGTTAAACCAGTATTAGTACCTTAAGAAGCCATTTAATACACAGGTTTTTTGTTTAAAGGATCTGCTTTTGGGGCCAAGACTCTTAACTGTTCTGGCATCTGATGAGCAGTAATAATTATTTCTTCCCTAACAACTCAGTCTGATTCTGGTTCTGTATTTCTCCCTCTTTTCCGTCTGTTTTTCCATTTCTTTTTTTTACAGTAACCCAGGTAGTGATGATTGATACAGGATTCACTTTGAACACCGGCAGCATCTCAGCATCAGGAGCATGTGAACTTTTAGCCTTATACTTCTCTGTGGAAGGGTCACTATCTTGATCAAACCATTAACCTCCATCCCCTAAGTCAGAATCGTCATGAGAGGGTACTTTGGCAAGAGTTGTGTCCATGCCTTGCTTCGCACATAATGTTGTCTACAGCTTCAATCCCTTCTAGAGTTTTACTTTCTCAGTGTTTTAACTCAACAGACTCCTATTTTCAGAATTTAATTTCTCGCCTTTGCTTTTGAAGTCTGAATTTCCTGATCTAGCTTATGTGTCACTGACCACATTGCCCTTATGCTGTCTCACTTGATCTTTTTACAGGAAAGTTTTGGGGTTAACACTTCAAAGTTTGCAAACTTGTGGTCAGTATCTGCATTATGAAAATTGGGCTCTGAGGGCTTGAGCAACCCCGTTCCCCAACTCCAACAGTTCTTATAAAATGGAGATGGAGTATAAGCAAGATGCTTGCCAGGAACGTTAGCTGCATTCCTGGTCTTCTGTGATCACTGGAGGCTGCCATCCACAGAAAGGCTTTTACAGAAAAGCTGCTCACAGTCTTTTTTACACTCAGAGTCTTCTTACGGTCAAAAAGGAAATGCACACCTTATATGCAAAGACAAGAAGTCATTGTTTGGCTAGCTGAAGTTGTAACAGTCTAATCAGAATATAACAAGCAAATTATTAGTCCAGTTACAATAATACTGCACAGTTCGAATTATCAGAAAAAGCCTCATTAATAATACATTAAAATTGCTGACATATACTTCCTAGTAGAGTTTTGTTTGTCATTGCAATGCCCTGCGAGTCCTACGTCTATGGTACCAGTCTTCCACCGGAATAAGGAGAGGGGGTGTGCGGGGTCATCAACTGATGTCCACCAGGTTGTTTCTCAGGAGGGGAATGTTGTTGGTGGAGATGAGATAAGTTTTTTCCTCCTCATTCTTGGGTCTAACTGGAGTTATATTTTCTTTGGTTGCTGACATAATCTGCTTAGTTGCTCTTTTTTCACTGGTTCCCAACTAAAGTTTGACTATCTTTGTTTGACTGTCTTAGTTAAAGATACACAATAGCCTCTGTAGCCTCAGTCTATGGCATTAATATTATTACTAAGTAACAGCATAGGTCAGCTACACCTTTACTGTGTGTGGTATTCACAGAGCTAACTAAAAACAAGTTATGCAATTGTTCGCTGGCTGCTAGACAACTGCTGTCACGACTAAAACAAGCTGAAATCAGCTCAGGCTAAGATAAGTGCAGACAGATCCTGTACGGATGGATCAAAGCATCTCACTTTTCCTAGTAATGTGAAAATCATATTTACTGGGCTACAGGGCTGCCTTGTGGTTCTTTTCCATGTTCTCTCACAGCCTTTCTGCAGAACAGTATCCATTCTTATGGATATAATCTGAATATTTTATGGATGTCAATCGAAAGTGGTTCATCCAAACACACATGGAGAATTGTAATCTGAATGCTTGTTCTTGCTACATCATGTGCCTTAACTTCTTGAATGCCATTCAAGTTTTTCTGTGAAATACAAATTCATCAGTACTTTTAAGTGTAGTGTCAACTAACTGGAATACTTGCAAAGTGAAAAAATAGTTGTATCAGGATATCCAGCCAAGCCTGGAGAGCTCAGCAGCTTCTTTGCTTTCATTGCTGTGCTAATTTTGCTG